AGAACATAGTTAAACACAAATCAACCATATTTTATTATTGTTACGAATTTAGATACATCGGATACACTAGAATCGAACCTTATTCCATGTGGGACGATAACCCACTCATCATAATTATTATTTGTACAACGAACCCGTACACTTGCGGGATAATTTTGCAAACAATCATTATAACAAAAAATCGAGCTTGTGCCCTCTCACTAAATTTCGTAAATTTTTAGGTGTCAAATCACCGGGGAATAACATTGGTCCAAGGCACGAGAAGATGTCGATCATAGCTGTAAAAGACCAACAAGTTGAAGGGTATTTTAATTTCAGCAATTTAGCACTACAAAAAAGTTTGTGTTATGCCCCCCAGCACATTGTCTGCCAAGTTGCTACACATTGTTTTAAACGTACAACATTTTAGACTACGTTTAATTTTGTTTTGCAATAGAATGTAATTTTTTTTCTTATCTACATTGTAACGTGGTAATTAAATAATATATTTTGTTTGAAACCACGTTTTAACTTATGTTGCGAATTCTCAATCGTGTAAAATAAATTACACTTTAGTAACATGATTAGTATGCGTTACATAGATTTTTTAATCGTAATTGTATTTATGGGTATTTAATGTTATGTGTTTGACTTCTTTGATCCATAGAGTATCATGAATTTCTTGCTTGGAAGGGTCGTTACAAAATTTAATGTGAAGTATTTTGATACGTAAAGTAATTTGGCCTAGTTCAAGTAGCAATAGTGAAGTCTCATCGGGTAAGTTACCCGAGTTGAGTCTCATTTGATGGAATCCCGCATGTGAGAAGGTGTAACATTTTCGGTAAAGAAAATTATGCACAAATAGTTTTATTCAATTCAAAATGGTTTCTTCACCCGCATTGTCTAGAAACAAGAAAATGTACCGGCTTGTGAAAGTAGACCAGTGTTGAGCTGGTTCAGGAAAATGAACATGTAACATGCCAATACCATGGTGTGAAATCTTGCTCCAGAACTATAGTAGTAATTCACTGCTAGAAGTGTCAAATAAAGATAGAATTATGGGCCAACCGTTTTCTAACCTAGCAAATGGTCCAAGTAGCACTAATGGATTGTGGTTCGTACTTCTTAAATTGGACTGGGAAAATAAAAACGGATTTTACAGACTAAGAGATTTAAGTTTCATCAATTTCAAATTTAAGAGAGAAAGTTTAAAATTTCAAATTTCAGATTTTTTTAAATTTTATTTATAAATAAATAAATTAAACATATATTTTATTAATTAAATATATTAGGACCTGTTTGGTACATTATGAAATCAAGAATGCATTTTTTTTATGATGTGATGGGGAATATGTGATTGAAAAATTTGATGAAAAATATTATTTTATTGAAAAATGTGTGGTTGAAAATGAATAGAAGAATGATAATGAAAAAAATAATGTGGACCAAACAGGGGTTAAGGTCACAATTCTATATAATTTGTCACATATTAATTTGTCACAAATCACAAATTTTACATGTCACAAATTATTTTATGATCACAATTTAAAAATTTGATAGGCCACAATTTGTTCATCAGTCACAAATTAAAAATTGAAACATCACGAATAATTTTACGGTCACAATTCAAAAATTTTATAAGACAATTTGTTCATCGGTCACAAATTACAAATATTATAAGTCACGACTTAATAGATAGTCACAAATTGTCAAATTATCGATCATAAATTAACAATTTTTTAGGTCACCCATTATTTTTTTGTCACAATTTATCTTTTTATTGGTCACATACACCGCACCTCAAACAAATCAACACCACCGCCAACGTCGCCACCATAACCACTACCACAGTCTCAAACAAATCAGCACATGGCAAAATGTCATGCCGATCCACCACTACCACTACCACCACCTCACCTCACCTCACCTCCACAGCACAGCTACCAAATTAGGACGTAGAGCATAGACACACCATCACCACGGCTAAATCCATCACCACCAACTCTAGATCCACCATCAGTAGCGCTCGATCCACCACCACCACTAAAACCACCCAAACATCACCACACCATGGAAACCACCACCACCAACAAACAAAAATAACCAAATCCAGCATAGCCGCCATCCTACACGCCCAAAATATCTCAAAACCACGGCGGCACAACGTCGCTGCGAGCGAAGTGGTTCTGATCGATGACCTTCGCGCGATGACATAGCCCTTTATGGTATCTCGCGAGGCTGCGGCCCATCTGTGGACGTGCTATATCGCGACAGTGGTGAGAGGTTGAGCTGTCGGCAGAGAGGGAGGAGAAGGTTGCACCGTCTGTGGAGGTGGTATCTCGCGGGCTGCGCCATCTGTGGAGGCGCTGTATCACGGCGATGGTGCGTGGGCTGTCGGCGAAGATGGCGTCGTCGATGAGGATTGGTAGAGAGAGTGAGAAGATGTTACAGTGAGAAGAAAAGGGGAGGAGGAGGAATATTGAAAATGATTGCTAGGGTTTGGGGGAAATTAATTAGGATTGTGATGAAAATTGTATAATTAATATTTAATTAAACATGAAATATCTAATTTTTGAAAATGAAACTTGTTATCTGATTTTTGAATATGGATCTTGAAAAATAGGGTTTTGTCCACATTTTACAATTTACACGGTACAAAATGCAATTCCCAAAAATATGTTGCGCATTTTGGAGTGCATTTTAAGAAAAAATCGCAATGACAAACCTGCTTTTGGAAAGAAAGAAAATTAAAGAGTTTTTAATGTGATATGTATATAAATTTAAAGAAATGAAAATATTAACACCATGTTTGATCCACATTCTTACAAAAATTCATTTTTTCAAAAATCATTTTCAACTACACATTTTTCAATAAAATAATATTACACGAAAATCCAAAATTTTTCCTTATTTTTTAACCACATATTTTCCATCAAATTACTATTTAAAATGTATTCCCCACTCAATAATGTGCATCAAACATGGTCTAAATAATAATTAATCCTCTCTCAGTATACCAATACAACATAAAAATGAAGATAATTGATGACGTTTAACCAAAAACGACACCATTTGCAGCACATAACATTATGATAAGAACCTTGCTACAACTACAGTCCGGGTGACAGCACTCACACATTCAGGACGGGGCCATCGTGTTTGTGCTGTGACCCGAGCTGTGAAGCTCGGGCTGTACAAACAGCCTAATTCTTATGATAAATAACAATGTACCACAAACGTAACATCAAACAATTGTCTTAGGTTATCCTCAAATTGAAATGAGTCATCGTGTCATTCACAAAAAACCAAATCTGCTGTCCACAACATTTATTCTGTAAAATGGGAAATCAAATGTTGTCCTGCGGGTGGGCTAAACACGTACTAGCAGAATGCACAACAGTCAATTTACTCTATTTCTCCATCAGCACAAAAAATTCTTGGTTTCCCCTTTCCAAATTCTCCAACAAGAACAAAATTAACCTTTTTCGTCCGCATAGAGCGTACGTTAAACAAGTTGATTAAATTTTGTAGGCGTTTACGTACATATAACTGAAAAGTTAAAAGCATCAAAACCAAATAGAATAATGTTATTTGTAGTCGACGATTACAGTAGTCTACGTAACAACTTGTTATTTGAGACATTAATTTTCTATAATTTCGTTGTCTGAAATAATAAGCTAATGCTTCAATAATAAATTGACACATAGAATGACTGCCACAGTCGCCGATTATGAATACTGTTATTCAACCAAATAACATATTTCATCAATTTTTATTAAAATTTACTAAAAATATGCTTTTTAGCTTAATGTGTCGTAACTATTTTTGGCTTATGATATGATTTTTCTTTTTATTTTTTTTAGTAATATGGAAAAGAAATGAATTGAGTATTACCAAAAACTGTAAAAATATAAAGCATCAAATCATAACTTTTTAAAGTCATCGTTTGAGTTTCATTCCATAGAACTCAATTTTTTTTCAAAATTACTTTCAATTTAATATTTTTCCAATAAAATAACTTCATGCATAAGTTCAAAATTTTTCTTACTTTCATCCACGCGTTCTTATAAAAATCATTTTCTATAAAGTTTATTCGTGAAAAATGGGACTCGAACAAGACCATATTATGAACTGCCACTGTAATAGTCGGGCAAAGAATTTGCTTCCCAAAATTCACGCCAAAGAATGCGGAAATTTATTAGCAATTAAAATACCAAAAACTTTTAGTTGAATTAAACCCTATATATTTCTGAAAATTAATTCTTGAATCAATCTTAAATAAAAATTCTATAAATTTTATTAGGAGACTTGTGGTGTACACCAAAATGAAAGAGAAAGAACTGTTTGACTGTTTTCGCAACTAGAAGAACATTTTAATTTTCTTCGTTTGTAACTGCACATTATTCAAAAAATTACTATTCCAAAATATTTTTTCCCAAAATCTAATTAAAATGGGATTCAAACCATTGCTAACTGTTGAATAAAAATCTAAATTAAAATCTTTACAAACTGAGGCATTAAAACTTGAGGATATAAGTAAAATAATAAATAAAAATTGATTACATTTAATGCCCAATTAAAAACTAAAAACCAAGGCAATAAATAAAAATTGTAGCCAAAGCATAACCACCCAATTTTTAATACAATTAATTACACGTATTCAAGTCTTAAATGAGTATATTTAAAACTTGAAGTCGTTGTCTTTAATTAATTAATTATATCAATGAAGAATTGAAGGTGAAATGCTAAGGTTCTCTTTCTCTCGCTATTGCTTGCTCTCCCATCTCATGCCCTAATTAGTGGCTTATACCACAATCCTTGCATATCAAATTCTTCGCGATCCACTTCTTCTCGAATCAATTACGGATTTGGCTACCGATTTCTTTCATAAATCTCAACTAGGGATCAATATTTTCATCCTCCACTCACCGCCAGCTTGTTCAGTGAAGTCGGGAATTGGTGCGGTACCGAGAAGGAAACGCAGAGAAAAGAGAGAGAGAGTTTTGATTAATTGTTGATTGATGGAGGGGAATTCTGGCGGCGGTGGAGGAGGCGGAGGGAATGATGTGGAGTTGCTGTGCAAAACTTTGCAGGTGGAACACAAGCTTTTCTACTTCGACTTGAAGGAGAATCCGCGTGGACGATACCTCAAGATCTCCGAGAAGACTTCGGCCACCAGGTCCACCATCATAGTCCCCTCCAACGGCATCTCCTGGTTCCTTGATCTCTTCAATTACTATGCCAATTCCGATGACCCGGAAGTTTTTAGCAAAGAACTCCAGCTCGACGCTAAGGCACCTATACAAATTACATACACATATAAACCCGCCCCCACACATTGTATTGGTCTCCTAATTTTATTTCTTCTCTATGTTTGTCTGGGGTATGTCCTTGCAGGTATTTTATTTTGACGTTGGTGACAATAGAAGGGGACGCTTTCTCAAGGTTAGTTTCTTCCTTTTCCCATTTATTGTCTAATTTCTTTGTGCTCTTGTATTTGCATGCGGCCATCATTTCCTAATTATCTTACATAACATTGGCGCTAGAGGGTTTTTGGTATCTTTCTGCTATTGGTTATTCAATATAATCTAGAGTTTCAATTAGTTGAGTTTTCGAGAGAATTGACTTCATTTGGTGGGGGTATATGTACTGTATGCTTCAGTCGCAATTGTAAATAGCCATTGTCAATATGTTTCTCACTGCAGTCACTAACACAAAAAATTTTAGTTTCTTGATACAAAATGTCAAATGCTCTCTCGTCAGGTAATAACTCAAGAGAGATTGAAATACATGGTCATATTCTTTTTTCTTATTATTTCTTGAAGTAGTACATCACGGGTCCTTTCTGATCATTTCGTGAAAAGACGATGTTACTGTAGAGCAGAGCACTTACATGATATTCAATTTCCTCCAACAATTCTGAAAAAGCTTCCACTAACCATTCAGTCTGGTATAATTTAACACCAAGTCTTTAACGCTTCTATTACGTCTTTATTTGAAGATATTTTACTCCAAGTGCTGTAAAATCTGTGTCAAAAAAGTGTTTCACTGTAGTCTGTCAGTATTGTCCAATTTCTCTGTAAGCAGAGGCGGACCCGGGATTCTGATCCACTGGGAGCCTATTTTAAACTATGATTTTTTTTTTTCAAACCCAAAATATAATAATATTAAAAATAAAATAGTAAAAAAATGAAAAATAAATAATTTTTTTCTCAAATCTCAGTGGGTTCCTTTGCACCACCTCCCTCCACCGCTGTCTGTAAGAGATGCTCTGCACACTTTATTTTCCACTATTTAGTATAGCTACTGAATTCTATATTGACTCTGGTTGTTTTATATACCTTGATTGCACATTTTCCATGCTGTGAAGATTGGTATATTGTTCACTTTCATATCACGAAGACAATTATCTCTGTCTGCATACACTTTTATTCGTCAATGTATCTAATAGACTTGTGCATGCAGATATCTGAAGCTTCTGTTAGCAGAAACCGCAGTACAATCATTGTCCCTGCAGGAAGTGCCCAAGATGAAGGATGGGCTGCATTTAGGAATATTTTGGCAGAAATAAATGAAGCATCAGGACTTTTCGTTCTGCCCAATCAGGTACCTTTTCATCCATTAATATTTGGCTTTTCTAGTTTTGCTTTCTCTGCAGGTGCCTCAAAAATCAAACCTTTTCTTTTTGTGTGTCTACATCAGCAAAACTCCGAACCATCGGAACACCTTGTCGGACTTTCAGATGATGTGGGGGTTGGGTTTATATCCAGTCACAGTTCTCTACCTTCCCCAGCTACTGACTTGAATGTGGAGCGGTCTGCTGATTTGCCACCACCACCAGAAGAAATTAATAACATGGGAGTCTCCAAAATGATACGAGCTGATCAAAAGAGATTCTTCTTCGATCTTGGGAGCAACAACAGAGGCCATTTCTTGAGAATATCAGAGGTATTGCTCTACTCTTTGCATTGATGACCTATCTGGGATTGGTTAGCATAATTTTGCCATATTTTACGTATTTTATTGTATATTTGTGTGTTAATAAAATGTCTCTGAGTTGCAGGTAGCAGGTGCAGATCGCTCCTCCATCATCCTCCCACTATCAGGACTGAAGCAGTTTTATGAAATGGTGGGTCATTTTGTGGCGATCACAAAAGGTCGAATTGAAGGGATGACTGGCGCAAATGTTCGGACATTTGGTGGGTCATTTTGTGGAGATCACCAAAGATCGAATTGAAGGGATGACTGGCGCAAATGTTCGGACATTGGACCCCCCTCAGAGATGAATCTGGTTGACACATTGGTTGGCCAATAACGGCCATTGTGTCCGAAATAAATTATGGGAAAACTATAACGCGATATGTTGCAGTTGACTGGGGTGAAGTTGCGAGCTTGGTGTCTCAGTGTTTCGCCTTATTTGTGTTTAGATTAAGTCTTAATAAGTTTGATCTCTCTTTCTATTCAAGTGATTGTGTACTGTTAGTAAGCTTGATTTTTATAAATGAATAAAACATAAATAAACCAATATGCAATGTATTCAAGTGAACATTTGGATTTCCCTTTGTGCATTCCAGGTGTGCTTTCTACTGTTATATATACTGCCAGAAAAATTGTCCAACTACACTTTTGGGGTCTTTCTGTTATGTCGAGTGGATGCTGAACTTCAATTAATGAATGAGCTGTTACTGGCTTTGATGAATACATTTCTGAAATTTACAATTTTGCTTCATTTTTATGCTTGATTCCCAAATTGCATATAAACATTTTAAATTATAAATAAATAAAAAATAGTGGTGCATAAGTAATAGTATTTATGGATTTCTTGAAATGTGAGAAATAAATAATACGTGCTTATAGATATGTGTCAAGCATAGGCACACAGTGAGAACATCTAGTGTAAACTTAGAGTTCGTTTTATAAAGATTTTATAAGAAATGAATTTTTTTTCGTGAACAAGTGAGTATAGAAAATTAATGTCCCTGTTTGACATTCATTAAAATGAGTTTTTTTGGGGAATTTTTTTTTAGAACACGTGTGGTTAAAAAGTTAGAAAAAAAAATAATAATAAAAAATTTGAATTTTCAGACAAAAATAGAGACTATACTAATGGGATTAAACATCAAATGAATAAAAACCATTTGTCCAAAAAGATTCAATACTGAAGAGTTCAATAAAATATTTATTGATGGAAAAGAAAATAAAATAAAAAAGGAGCCTAATTTTTTTGCTTGCATCCGGTGTGCTCTATAATAAAAAAACTCTAATCTAAAAATACTCTAATCACTTTTTTTTTTAAAAAATAATAAAAACATTCGTTCATTTAAACACTATTCGTCCACGCTATTTTTATATGTGCATCTGATTATAATTTCAACCACGCCATTTTCTATATATCTAATGGATGAAAATACAATCGGTAAATAGTGGTTTCCCTGCACAAGATTTTTAGAGTTGAGTAGGCCAATAAGAGACAATGTTAGCTTTCAGCACGTGACGACTAAGATTCATATAATGATATCCAAGGAGTGTTTGAAGCACGTTATTGAGAAAAAATGCATTTATAATGTGATGTGATGAAGTGGTTAAAAATAAGAAAAAGCTTTAAAATTGCGTGTAATATTATTTTATTAAATAATGTATGGTTGAAAATAAATTTTAAAAGAATGATTCTTTTAAAGAATGTGGATCAAACGTGGCCCAATCCAAAATCATGGACAATTAGAAAAGGGAAAAGTTCACAACTCAGGTTTTATCTATCTCAAAATTAAAAATCAGGCCCCAAAATTTAAATTTACAAAACTCAGGTTTTTCCATAAATTAATTAATTATATTTTACAATTAATCTATTAAATTAAATATTTAACTGTAATATAAAATACTCCACCCCACCTCCACCTCCACCACTCCGGCGACTGCTCCGACGACTATTATCCGACATAACTTAATTCCAGCGAACATTTTCCGATGACCGTTAATTCCGGTAACTGCTCCAATTCCAAGGTCACAAATAAAAAAAAATTATATGTCACAGGTCACGTATTTTCAAAGTTATGGGTCACAGATTCCTTTTTTATTTACAAATTATCAATTTTAAAGTCACAGTTCAATAGCAAGGTCACAGACACTGGCTAAGTCACAGATACCAGAAAAAACACCACAGTTCAATAGCGAGGTCACAGACACCCAAAAAAATCATCACAGTTCAATAGCTAGATCACAGACCCTAAATAGATCACAGACACCAGAAAATACCACCATAGTTCAAAAGCGAGGTTATAAACAAAAAAAAAAAAAAAAAAACCCACTACAATTCAATAGCGAGGTCGCAGACACCAAAAAAAATCACTACAGTTCAATAGTTAGTCACAGACAAAAAAAAA